AAAGTAGCATTAAAAGGAAATAGTGTTGACAGACCTGCTGTTCAAGTGGCCGTGACAGACCTCACTTTTACCTCACCTACCTACCTATTAAGCTTACCATTGATAACAAATGCTAAATTGGCTATAATTTGGTTTGATGGAAAGGATGTATGTCTCAATAATGTCTTACCAGACATGTGAAACTAGACAGAACATCCTGAACTCTTGACCTATGCACATTATGAATTTTAGAAGGTGCAAGCAAAGCATAAAAGTTCCAACCACAATTCTAGGAAGGCGTTGTGGTTTTTGACACCTTGACAACGGTTACAACGATTGAGGACAACAATGCACACGGGATGAGAGTGAACTGTGTACAGACTTGATGATTTTAGGTCCAACATCCAGGAGCAAAACATCTTAGAGACAATAGAGACACTTTTGTTACGTTTGTTTCTGTTAATAAATTAAATGTGCACATTTTAAATTGAAGTTAAAATAAATCTTAATTCTAAACATGACATTGAAAATGTGTTTTGCTTTCATAAAAATGTTCATAGGCCTATTCCCTTTTCTTAAAATTGCATATCATTACTATAGTCTTCATTTGTTTAATTTTAACCAAGATTAAGTAAGAATTTAACCTAGGTGACCTCCTTCTCACTCAAAGATAGAAAAGGGGAAACCACCTGAGGCCTGTACGACGAAGCCGGATTTTCGCTTAGCTAGCTAACTTCAGGGAAAACTCGGGGTTTCCGGTCCTACGACGCTGGTTCTCTTTTTAGCGGGCTAGATCTCCATGGTAACTTATGCTGAGCGGCTAGCCTGGTCCGGAGCTGGTTAGGTTGCAGGCTAAGAGATAAACTCAGTGAAAGCACCGCCTGCTGACCAATCAGAGCTCCGTGTGCGGAGTTTAAAGCGATCAAGTCATATTACAGGAGAAAGGAAATACAGAAAAACTGCCGTTGCAGGAAAGACGGCCGGCAAAAATCACCAACTGTGTGAACGTGAAAATTAATAGAATATCCCCTCCCATCTTCAGAGCAATCTGACTATTATAACATTAGTGTTAAGAAAGCTTACTTAAATATCTGCCATAACACAAGTAACCGGATTAAAGTAACATTATGTACAGTCCGCTGCACTGTGAGTGCAGACGTCGATGTGTCCCATTATCATTCATATATCACATCATAATGTATCATATATTTCCTTATCTGAGTCAGCTTCTTGAGCCGTATCTGGCCATGCAACACTCACAGTGTCACATACTGTATGCACAGACCCGGCGTCATGGGCGGGCCCCATGGGGCTGGGCCCGCCCATCCAGGATTTGGGCCCGCTGTTTTAATCAGGGCTGAATACAACATTTTAATTGTTTTATTATTATGTTTGTTGTTGTTATTTGTAGAGCTTTGTCCTAATATTTATTTTTGTATTAAACTATGTTGAAAGATTAGTTTAATATCATTTTTTTATTTTGCTAGGAAATTCTGAATGAAAGGCTGCGCGTGAGACTGTTTTTTCGCTGGGTTGAGTCGTGTGTGGGTTTTTGAGTGAGATGCGGCACAGCAGCCTGTCAGTTTACTCTTGCTAGGTTAGTTTGGCTATTATCATTTATATTTATCTGCAACAATGGATATCAGGAAGTGGTTCACGAACAAAAAGAGCTCACCAAAGCAATATGGCAACTCAGCGCCAGATGCAGGCACATTAGAAGAAATCAGTTACGTTACCAACGAGCTAGCAAGCCAGCCAGGGACAAGGGAGGCTGGCAATCAATTATATTTTGAAGTCGCTCTATTTGATAAGTCGCTCGTAAAACACAGGAGGTATGGAAACTAAGAACACCATATGTGGTAAATTGTACAGCTAATATAACACAACACATTAGTTGTATTTCCTTTAACTGGTGGATTATGGATATATAGTTGCTGATCGATAGCTGGAACACAAACCACCAAATACAACAAAATAATTCAGATCCAGTCGTCATGACTCCACTCCGGAGGGATTCCCCGATCATTTCTTACAGTTTCTCATCAAGGGGGTGTCTCCTGTCCCCGGCACAAACACACTGCCTGAGGAAGGTTATGTGTATTTTCTTTGTCATTAACTTTTTTCGGACCACTTATTTATTTATTTTGGTGACGATCCGACCTCCATGCTGCTACTCTGGTTCAAACTGCATCCACCAAACAATGTGATTTATCTCGACCTCCCCAAAATAACCAAAATCTGACACGGTGTGAGATGTCTTTTTTAGCTGTTCGGTCGTAATTTCCTGCGATCTTCTTCATGCAGTCAGTCACAATGAATGAATGAATGGGCGTTTCTTTATGGGCTCAGAACAGTCTCATAATACACACATGCACACAGAAGGATTCACACTTGTATTTCATGATCCGCAAAAGGATTCACACTTGTATTAACGGGTTCAAACTTGTGTTTTTCAATGCACACACAAATGTGTTCTGTTTCATATACATGTAAATAAAATCCAAATACAGAAAAAGGTTTTACATATGTATTTTTGATCCTCACATATTTATTTTCCGTTTAAATCCCCTGCACCTACAAACACAACCCGCTTTCTGTGCATGGATTGCTGTGCATTCGTGTGTGGGTTTTTTGAGACTCCCCTGACGGTGACGAGATTCGTACTTGTAATTTTTTCTATCTATAGCCAATCAGATGTCTCCTTCATTCTAAGCCAATCACATGAGCGCGTCCCCACGAGGTTATGATTTATTGCGTTCATGACACTTCATATACGCATTTTGTGCTGTGGAGCAGGGTTTCCGCTGACAGAATTTATTTTACCGGACAAATTTGGAACTTAACGGTCATGTTTCAATAAGAAGAAGAAGAAGAAGAAGAAGAATTGTGTAGCAAAGTTTCCGTTAGCAGGTAATTACCGGACTATGACCGGATATGGCTAATAACACGGGAGTAAGGATCATCTCTTTTCCTCTCTCCCTCCCTCTCTCCTGACAGCCCGTCAGTTTCTCATGCAGCTCGCTAAAACTTCACTCGCGTTTATGTCCATATGGATCAGATCCAGCTCTCCTGATCGGCCTTTATAGAGAGCACCGATCAAACTATTAAGAGTGAATATCGGCCGATAATGACCGGCGGGGCTCCCCCCGTTGACAGTTCACTGTCTAGCACTGGCTTCGTAGTGCACTGATCGATTAGGCTAAGCTAACCTGTAGCTGCTCCCTCCACACTCACAACAACTTCATACAGACATAAATAAAGCAGCTGTATTCGCCATACAGGAAACACACATTTAAAACGGTTTTGCCTGCCGTTTTTGTGTACACAAGCATTCATTAATGGTTCGGAAAGTGGCACTGTACCTTAATAATATAAAGGCTTGTATTTGCGTGCATTTCCTGCTCGGAAAGTGGCAATGTACTGAGAGTGGAGGTGTCCTGAGATTAGCGCCTGCAGGCAGGCTCCATGGACCTGTCAGCTCCGGACAGCGCAAAATGCGTACATGAAGCGCTACGTCATGAACGCAAGAAATCTACCCTCGTGGGGGCGCGCTCATGTGATTGGCTTAGAATTGAGGAGACATCTGATTGGCTATAGATAGAAAAAATTACAAGTACGAATCTGGTCACCGTCAAGGGAGTCTCAAAAAACCCACACACGAATGCACAGCGATCCATGCGCAGAAAGCGGTTTGTGTTTGTAGGTGCAGAGGATTTAAACGGAAAACAAATATGTGAGGATCAAAAATACATATGTAAAACTTTTTTCTGTATTTGGATTTTATTTACATGTATATGAAACGGAACACATTTGTGTGTGCATTGAAAAACACAAGTGTGGATCCTTTTGCCGATCATGAAATACAAGTGTGAATCCTTCTGTGTGCATGTGTGTATTATGAGACTGTTCTGAGCCCATATTTCTTTGACTATTTATAGGCAAATATGGGCGTTACGTGAAGCCTGCAAAAGCTGCGCCGCATTTCGAGTCGATTGTGATTTATAAAGGGAAACAGGCGTAGGAAGTGCCGGTAGGCAATGTTTTGTGAATCGGAAAATGTCTGTACCTATTTTTTTGCTTTGTACTACGTAAGCAACCTTCTCACGTCAATCCTACGCAAGGCGTTATAAATTAGTCCCCTGGACACTCCAATGTGCAGCAGTGTAGCAGCAAAATGAATAATATAGAGACAAGTAGGAGCCAACGTATGACTTACTCGAGGGGAATTTTAAGTTAAATGGAATTGGTTGCGAAACCTAATTCTACATATCCGGTGTTGGAATATTTTGGATTTAAGCCAAATGAACGAGGCAAACCTACGGACTTGAATGAGCCGCCGGGATGTCGCATTTCTTTTAAAAAGGTATAGCAACAAAAGCTAGCGATACGACCAACCTTAAACTGCACCTGAAACACAACCACCCCATTCCGTTTTCCCAGCTGGGAGCAAACACGGCACCTGGAGATGGAGAGCCCCCACCTTCCCGACAGTTTACAATCAAAGATGCATTTTTACATTTTTACTGAAGTACAATATCTGAATACTTCTACTTTTACTCAAGTACAAGATCTGAGTACTTCTACGTTTACTGAAGTAAAATATCTGAGAAATTGTACTTTAACTAAGGGACGAGACCTGAGTACTTCTACTTCCATAAATATAATCAATCAGACTTCAGTTCCACCTGGAGTAAATTCACAAGCTACCCTACAGTATACAAAGTCATTAAAACTAGCTGCACCTTTACCAGCTTTGAGAACACTTTAATGATCAATCATTATATCAAAACCTATATAATGGAAAACAAATGTATGATCACAAACAAAAACATGTTTCCAACGTTTAAAATCTGCCATACCAGTCCCATATTTATATATATATATATTATTATTGTTGTAATTCATATTTTATTTAATACCGTTTTCCACCACAGGGAGGCAGTGAATTTATTTTTTAAAGAAAAACTAAACTCCCATGATGCATTGCGGCGGTGCGTTTCTAGCTTCCGGTCCTCAGAAGCTAGAGATTGCTAACAGACGTTGACGCAGATTTTATACCTAATGTAATGTGTTTAAGAGACTTTTAAAACACATACAAAGACTTAGTTTATCCTTGGAGGGTGATTTATCCGTTAAACCGTGTTTTTGTTGCCTCCCGTTCTTTGTTCGTAGCTTTTTATACCACGTTGCTGATCGGTAAACACAAGTAAAGGGAAATTAGCGTGTTTAACGGCAGTGTTGTATCAAGGAGAAGAAAGACTGAAGAACCAGGACGAAGACGAGAGAGAGAGGTAACATCCATCCGTGTGTGTCTAGTTTTAATGACTTTGTGTACTGCAGGGTAGCTTTTGAATTTACTCCAGGTGGAACTAAAGTCTGATTTAAGAGTTGATTATATTTCACATCATTGATCCAAATCTGTGAAGTAACTAAAGGTTTGCAATACATAGTGGAGTAAAAGTACACTATTTACCTCTGAATTGTAGTGGAGTAAAAGTAGCATTAAATGGAAATAGTGTTGACAGACCTGCTGTTCAAGTGGCCGTGACAGACCTCACTTTTACCTCACCTACCTACCTATTAAGCTTACCATTGATAACAAATGCTAAATTGGCTATAATTTGGTTTGATGGAAAGGATGTATGTCTCAATAATGTCTTACCAGACATGTGAAACTAGACAGAACATCCTGAACTCTTGACCTATGCACATTATGAATTTTAGAAGGTGCAAGCAAAGCATAAAAGTTCCAACCACAATTCTAGGAAGGCGTTGTGGTTTTTGACACCTTGACAACGGTTACAACGATTGAGGAGAACAATGCACACAGGATGAGAGCGAACTGTGTACAGACTTGATGATTTTAGGTCCAACATCCAGGAGCAAAACATCTTAGAGACAATAGAGACACTTTTGTTACGTTTGTTTCTGTTAATAAATTAAATGTGCACATTTTAAATTTAAGTTAAAATAAATCTTAATTCTAAACATGACATTGAAAATGTGTTTTGCTTTCATAAAAATGTTCATATTCCCTTTTCTTAAAATTGAATATCATTACTATAGTCTTCATTTGTTTAATTTTAACCAAGATTAAGTAAGAATTGAACCTATGTGACCTCCTTCTCACTCAAAGATAGAAAAGGGGAAACCACCTGTACGACGAAGCCGGATTTTCGCTTAGCGGGCTAACTTCAGGGAAAACTCGGGGTTTCCGGTCCTACGACGCTGGTTCTCTTTTTAGCGGGCTAGATCTCCATGGTAACTTATGCTGAGCGGCTAGCCTGGTCCGCAGCTGGTTAGGTTGCCGGCTAAGAGATAAACTCAGTGAAAGCACCGCCTGCTGACCAATCAAAGCTCAGTGTGCGGAGTTTAAAGCGATCAAGTCATATTACAGGAGAAAGGAAATACAGAAAAACTGCCGTTGCAGGAAAGACGGCCGGCAAAAATCACAGACTGTGTGAACGTGAAAATTAATAGAATATCACCTCCCATCTTCAGAGCAATCTGACTATTATAACATTAGTGTTAAGAAAGCTTACTTAAATATCTGCCATAACACAAGTAACCGGATTAAAGTAACATTATGTACAGTCCGCGGCACTGTGAGTGCAGACGTTGATGTGTCCCATTATCACATCATATCATAATGTATCATATATCTCCTTATTTGAGTCGGCTTCTTGAGCCGTATCTGGCCGTGCAACACTCAGTAGGGCTGTGCAATTAATCCTATTTTAATCGCAATTACGATTTTTGCCTGCCACAATTACGAAAACAACATAATCGAAAAAAACAATTATTTTGCTTTGCTAGGTTGTGACAGTGCACTGCAACATATTTGATCTAATTTAATGTTGGTCTCATTTATTTGTATTTATCATATTTATATATGTTTAGTAGCTTGGGGAAGTGCGCTCCAAAATATTTGTTGATCTTGTTTATTGGTATTTATTTTGATATTATTTATTTAAATGTATCATTTATTTTTGTATTGGTTTTTCAGTTGAATTATACGTTCAGGGTAATCAACAGTTAAACAGATACTGTTCAAATTATTATTTGTATTTGTTTTAAAGTTCAATAAATGGATTTTTTCAAAGTCAATGAATAATCCTATTTAATAATCGTGATATCAATTATTGACCCAAATAATCGTGATTACGATTTTTGCCATAATCGCACAGCCCTAACACTCAGTGTCACATACTGTATGCAGAAGTATTATTTTAAGCAACACGTTGACGAAACACTCGAGTCAAATGTAATTAAAGTCAGATCCACTCGTGTCTTAGACGGGGCAGTGATATCATAAACCTGTTAATGTACGCATTCAAACACTTTTTCTTTTACCAGCTGTATTCACCTTGCAGGTGCAGCTATGTGGCTTTTTTCCTGGATAAAACCTGTGTGACCTCCTTCTCACTCAAAGATAGAAAAGGGGAAACCACCTGAGGCCTGTACGACGAAGCCGGATTTTCGCTTAGCTAGCTAACTTCAGGGTAAACTCTGGGTTTCCGGTCCTACGACGCTGGTTCTCTTCTTAGCGGGTTAGATCTCCATGGTAACTTATGCTGAGCGGCTAGCCTGGTCCGGAGCAGGTTAGGTTGCCGGCTAAGAGATCAACTCAGTGAAAGCACCGCCTGCTGACCAATCAGAGCTCAGTGTGCAGAGTTTAAAGCGATCAAGTCATATTACAGGAGAAAGGAAATACAGAAAAACTGCCGTTGCAGGAAAGACGGCCGGCAAAAATCACCGACTGTGTGAACGTGAAAATTAATAGAATATCCCCTCCCATCTTCAGAGCAATCTGACTATTATAACATTAGTGTTAAGAAAGCTTACTTAAATATCTGCCATAACACAAGTAACCGGATTAAAGTAACATTATGTACAGTCCGCGGCACTGTGAGTGCAGACGTTGATGTGTCCCATTATCATTCATATATCACATCATAATGTATCATATATTTCCTTATCTGAGTCAGCTTCTTGAGCCGTATCTGGCCGTGCAACACTCACAGTGTCACATACTGTATGCACAGACCCGGCGTCATGGGCGGGCCCCATGGGGCTGGTCCCGCCCATCCAGGATTTGGGCCCGCTGTTTTAATCAGGGCTGAATACAACATTTTAATTGTTTTATTATTATCTTTGTTGTTGTTATTTGTAGAGCTTTGTCCTCATATTTATTTTTGTATTAAACTATGTTGAAAGATTAGTTTAATATCATTTTTTTTATTTTGCTAGGAAATTCTGAATTAAATTCTGAATGAAAGGCTGGATGAAAAGGGGGAGCTTGGGGGGACTTTATTGAGGCTTGATTTTGGGTCTTGTGCTCTGGGCTTGGGCTCTTTTAGGGCTCTTTGGGGTTCACTTGGGAACCTGTTGCTTTTGTACTTTGACCTTAGCCGCGTTCACACCGAAGTACTTTTCCCCGTACTTTTCGCGTTTAGTTCCGTTAGTACCCCTTATGTCGCGTTCACACCAAAAAGAGCACTTAATAATCGGGAACTTTTACCCCTATTTTTAGTGCCTGCTGAGAGATGGTACTTTCCTGGGGGAAAAAAGCGCCCCAGTTCTGATTGGCTGGGCGAATTGCAAACCACGCCCCGTAAAACTCTGAAATGTTTTGTAGAGCTGCCATTTTATTATCCTCGCATTAGCATTATTAGCATTAACATTCGCCCAGTGCACAAACGCAGAGAGACTAACTTATGGCAACACAAAATAAAACATGGGAGCGGTGGAGATGAGGAGGTGTCGGCGTTCTGGCGATTTACTCGGAAGGCTTCAGTAGAAGCTGCTGGGAGTCCCAGCAGCTTCTACTGAAGCCTTCCCCAACTCCGAGGACTTCCGGCCGGCACTAAGTACGGCAAAGTACTTGGTGTGAACGCGGCTCTTGTAAAACTTTTGTTATTTTTTGGATCTTGTAAATCCTCTATATTTGTTAAAAACCTAATAAAACAGGTTTGTACATTTCGACCCAATTCCTGGTCTCTCTGGTAGTCTCTGAAGGTATCTGCTTGGTCTTAGAGTAAGCTAAGAACACCCTTCCTTGGAAAAGGCTGACAGTAGTTGATGATTTGGACTTGAAATTGTTTAAACCCTGCTAAGGTTAAACTGTAGTTTCATATTGGTTACTGTGGTTGTGGTTTTGATTGATGCTGAAATATGAGCATCCGGAGCTCGAAAAATGGTATTCGGTACATGCCCTACTGTTAGCTGTCCCCCTAAACAGATTACGGTAATCTTGCACTTAGATTCTGGGGGTTTAGTCCTAAAGGTAGGACGGCCGTTTTCCGGAGCCTTTTCGGCATCAGAGCTCGGTATCGGAGACGACCTAGATATTAACGTTGGTTTTATCGAAGTTAGATTCCTTTTCAATAGTAAAGTACAAGTACCTCTAAATAGTACTCAAGTACAGTACTTGAGTAAATGTACTTAGTTACTTCTCGCCTCTGCTATTAACCTAGGAAGTAGCTGTAGATTTGTTTTGTTGTGTCTGTCAGTTGTATTGATTTATCTTGTTTTGTGATTATTTCAGAGACACAGCCGGAGAAGGAGCTCTGAGAGCAGCATGGAGGAGAACAAAAAGACCCCTGGAGCTCAGGTCAGTGTGCACCTCATCACAATATATTCCTAACACTGTTATCCCCAAATGAAAGATCACAACCTGTTTAGAAAATACAATATTAATGCACAATATGGTTGGATATAGATTAGAACGTTGCTGTATTTCTTATTCTTTTAAACATTTATTTATAGATTAAAAGTACTCATTACATTACAGTGTTTCCCCTACCATTGTCTTGGATGGGCGCTGCGCCCCGCCAACGGAGCCCCGCGCCCCCCCTGAAATTCAAGGTGTTTAAAAAATATATATATATAGCACCAAATTGCAACTAATCTATATCTACTCTCACTTTTCAGATTGAACATGTGCTCTTTTATTAAATAAACTAAACACTTTCATTTTAAGTTGTGAGTTTAGTGTTGGTGACCCTAAGAAACACTGATGCATTAATCAATAACAATAATCCACAGCCCCTCTCTCTGCTCAAGAAGATACAAACTTGAAGAAAACAGAATCATATAAGTACATCAGGTTTCATAGAGCCAAAACATTTCAAGTGCTACTCGACTAGCTTTAGATAAGCCAGTCCTTTTATTAGTATATAAGTGCTTTGTTAGTAATTCTATCGCTCGAAGTGGAGTCGAAAGAGATGAGTTTTTAGTCTGCGCCGGAAGATGTGTAAGCTTTCTGCTCTCCTGATGTCAATGGGGAGCTCATTCCACCATTTTGGAGCCAGGATAGCAAACAGATGTACCCCAATCATCCTCTGAAATATCCTTTAATACGTCTTTTACTTTCTGAGTTGTCTTTATGGTTTGCAACCATTATGTTATACAATTGAGTAACCAGTCCTTTGCTGATACAGTTTTGTATAGACAGTATCTCTACTGTGGACGTAGGAGGTTGTTGCAACAAGTTGTTTAAAGGGGACCTATCATGCAAAATGCACTTTTGTACGTCTTTTATACATGAATATGTGTCCCCGGTGTGTCAGGGAACTCACCAAGTGTCAGAAAACACAACCCTCTCTCTTTTCCTCCATACCCAAATCTCTAAAAACGGGGCTGCAACGGATCTGATACAGATTTGAAATATCTCTGACGTCAGAAACGAGGAGCTCCGCCTATATGGGCAACTCTCCACCTATCAGGAGGAGACAGCCACGGCCATTGCCGTTCGAAAGCGCTGGAGACGCTGTAGTACATATGCCAGGCCTGTAGATGGTGCTGTTCTCACAGAATCAGCCCTTGCAAAAACAGGGCTAAAAAAGTGCAAATAGAGCGAAATGAGGCATGGCTAAAATGCATGATCTGTTTGGTATTTTGAAAAAAAAAATTCACAGACATGTTTATATAGGTATGGCCCTAGAATATATTATTCAAATATAGCATGATAGGTCCACTTTAAGTTTGCCAATATAAAACTCCTAACTTGCAGGTACTTAAAAAAGTGTTTCTGTGGCACGTCATACTTTGTTTTCAGCTTGTCAAACGACATTAGGTTGCCGTCCTCATATGAATCCAGTAGCCTTACAATACCCTTACTTAATCATGTTTGGAAGCCCATGTCATTCTTCAGCCCGGGTAAAAATGCCCCAAATAGGTGAGAAACAAGACAACATTGGGGAGTCGCCTATATATTTATGTGCTTCATGCCAGACAAACATTTTATTTTTCACAAAGGGATTAATAGTTTTTTTCCTTAGATTTTTAGAAGGAGCAGAGTATAGAAAGATATCCAGCATCAAACCCTTTGAAGACAACAACTCAACTCGTATCCATGGCAAATCAACTCCTCTTGAAAACCAAAACATTGTAGCCCTCAATTGTGCCGCCCAGTAGTACCACTGAAAATGTGGTAGTTGTAACCCTCCCCTATCGTAAGGTAAATACAACAGAGAGAGTCTAAGTCTCGGCTTCCTGTTATTCCAAATACATTTAGAAAGTAGCTTTCTTATTTTAGAGAAAATGGAGGAGGAGGTGCTAGTGGGATTGATTGAAAAATATATAAACATTTTGGCAATATACTCATCTTAATTATATTAATTATTTCCACTAAGGACAAGGCAATGTTGTCCACCTAGTGGAATCTTCTGACACTTTAGCTAACAAGGGTTCGTAATTAGATGCACTGAGAATGTCTATCTTTGGTGTAATTTTAATACCCAGATAAGCAAAACCGTCTATGGCATTTACAAATGAGAAAGATGATTTTGGATTTCTTCTCTCCTGATCATTGAGAAACATAATAGAGTATTTATCTTTGTTCACCTTAACCTGTTACGCACGGCCCCCCCGGTACCGGGCGGATAAACGCGTCATTTGCAGGAAACAACGTCTAAGGAATCTTAATATTTAATAAACTATGAATGTTTTATATCCATGTAACGGGAAGAAACTCAGCTAACTGATCTTTTTAAAAAAAAAATCAAAAAAAAACTCACAATGCTAACACTCAGCCTCTGAATTAGCCACGAGCGAAAAAATGTAACCTAAAACTGCACCTAAACTCACAATAACTCACTTATTACTTATCCTAGATGCACAGCCAACCACTCGTTTTTGTTCTCCTGGAGACACTGAATCTGGGGGTGCCCACCTCAACACTCAGTGATAAACATTTGCGACGCTATAAACGAAAGCGTACATCATAACATGTGGAGCTAGGTAGCTATAAAAGCTAACATGGCTTACCTTGGTCAAAACTGGTCTTCAATGGCATTAAAACGATAAAAAAACAATGCTGCAGTTAATCCATAGGTTCATCCAATGTGTCTGTGTCCTCTTTGAAATGATTTCTGATAATCCATAAGCAATAAAACTGCTTTTTCGTTTCCAAATGTCAGAGCGAGAGATCGGTCCACTCTGCTGCAAAATTACATGCACGCAGCCCCCACCTTTTCTCTTCACAACGTGTGTGTGTGGGGGACTCCCCCTTCGATTTTATTGGCTCTAACGGTCAGAAAGAGGTGTCAACCATCAAAATCGAGCAAGGGGGGCCAGAGATATGGAAAAAAAAACATTTTCACCCAAATCACCTCAGAGGTGGAGTGGTTTTGGCTAAACCTCTCTAAAAAGGTCAAATGTCCCTTGTTTTGCATCAATCTTGATACGGGGTACTTATTATATGTTGTACTTTAGATTCCTAAAGCTTTTAGTCTACTAACCCATCATCCAAGGGTAGTTTTCACTATAAGTAAAAAATAATATTTGGACGGACACTATAATTTACAGTTTTTTACTATGTAAAATCTGAATTTTCTTTAAAATAAAAAACATCTATATCGATTCTGCCACTTCTACATCCAACTCACAGATGTGACCTTGCTTTGATAAAAGAAATTATTCATATAACCCTTTTAGAAGTTAAGTTGTAGTCATTTGTTTTGGGCATGTCATTTCATCACTGAAACATGAAAAACAGGCTTGGTGCTTAACAGGTTAAAACCAGAGATTTTACCAAATTGATTGATTACTTTTAAGAGGGATTTTGCAAGACCTGATCAAAACACTATGGCATCATCTGCATACAATGCTATATGATGCTCTAGGTGCCCTGTCTTAATACCATAAATCAAAGGGTGTGATTGTATGGCTATTGCCAACGGCGCCATATAATAGCTATCACAAAAAGGAGAGGCGAAATATGAGAGCCTTGTCTCGTGCCGCGAAAGAGTATAAACGGTTGTGAAATACAATTATTGGTTAATACTACTGCGGACGAATCAAAAAATATAATTTTAATCCATTTAAGAAAGTAGTCATCAAGACCAAAGCGCTTAAGCACTTCTAGCAGATAGGGCCATTCGACTCTGTTGCGGCTTTCACACCAGCGCTTTTCCCTTTCTAGCTCCTAGCGAGAGCTTTTCTGGTTCAGCTCCGGTTTCCCTTTTCAGCTCCCGCTCTGTTCACACCGCCCAGAGCTGCCGAGAGATTTTCTCCCACAACAACAACGGGCCGGGGACTGCGTCGGGTCGACGATCGTGTTGCTTTTAATCATACGAAGCCAGATTAAATTAAATAACGACTTCTCCAACCTTATACCTTTCTCCAGAGTGCCGTGGTTCATTGTTTATTAATGTGTTTCAGCGGCATTTACCGACCGAAACAGTGCTGGCTGCTCTTCAACGGGAGTTTATTCTCCCGTTAGCTCACACGGTTCTAAAGTATTCACTGTCTGACTGTCACACAAGCAGCTGATACATATCCCCAGTTCCCCTTAAGTGAATGTGTGTCAGTCTGAATTGACGCTGTTTGGCATCACAACGCTGTTATGAAAGTTTCTCTGGTATAACATGGGTGATGTTAGCATAGCAACCGAAGCTAAACTGACTACTTGCTAAGCCGTTTTCTCCAGGCACATTTTACCGGCGTATTTTTCATTATGATTCTACTTGTGATAGTCGGACATGACAACCTGTACAGCCCATGTATTAATTCCATCCGATAGCTGCTATAATAACAAACAAAACGTCTGCCTGCTCTCCACAATGATCAATAACAGCGAACGGATGGTCAAAGTAAGGTTTCCTGCACGCCTCGACGTAAGCGACGCCGCGTCATAGCTCCAAAGCTCTTGCCTCTGGACCGACAACTTTTTGGAGCTGGAAGTGAACCGCATTCCGGAGCTATGACGCGCCGCCGCTGCGGTGTGAACAGGAAAAACTGGCGCTTTTCAGGCTCTAGCTCCCAGCAGGAGCTGGAAAAGCGCCGGTGTGAAAGGGGCATGTCAAACGCCTTTTCTGCATTGAGTGACAAAATGGCCTTATCCGGGGTTCCTTCACAAAACGTAACGATAGTTACGGCTGTAACTACGGTTCTATGAGTCCCGGATGACCGCCAGAGGCGGTGCTTTTAGCACTGGATATGTCCATCGTGCGCATGCGCAGTGCGAGTACCAATATCAACAAAGTCACCTGTGACCCACGTGACACCGGCTATACCAGCCGGTGTCATCAGAGGATCTGTTCCCAGAATCTTCTCGCGAGCACACAAGAGTTCTGAGTGACAGGAAACTCTGGCGGTCATCCGGGACTC